GGGCAGGCCACACAGCTCCTTAGTGGCAAAGCCAGCCTTCCCGTCCGTCGGGAAAGGCCAGCAGGAGCCGCAGCACGTCCTGGTCACATCTCCCGGACAGAGCCACCGTCAGGGCGCCGGACAGGACCTGGTGGAGGAGGGTCCGAGCAGATGCACCCAAGCCGGGCAGCCCCACTCAGGGAGGAGCCCGAGCACCCAAAGCCCTGAATGCGGGGGGTTCACCTGGAGACACACGAGCCACCTCTGTTCCACTCACACATTTGGATGAAAATGTTTCTGAAATGTAAGCACTCTGCCCGCTGGTGACTCAGGGCAACACAGGACCACCCGCCTCCCCCTGGCCCTCCAACCCTGGCTGCTCTCAGATGGAGCGCTTGCGACTTTTTCTTCACGTTCAGCCTCAGCCTCTGCTGTCAGTTTATCACTTTCACTTCTCACAGTTATCAGTGTGAAACTATGTTTTTTCTCCTCTTTTTGCAACTTGAAAACCAGAGTTCTGAGCTTCTTATAATTTTTGAAAAGGAAAAGCAAACAAAGCCAGAAGGAGGGGCTGAGGAGGACCTGTGTTTAATCTCGTTTGTGACTAATGACCCAGTGCACGGATTTGTGCACATTGAAAGGAAATTAATTAGACGGTGGCCAGGGAGGCAGGACTGGGCGAGACGGGCCAGACACGACCTGGAGCCAACCTCCCACGGTCCTTCCCGGCGTCAGCGGAGTGAACAGAGTCCCTCTGGCAGGTGGGGTCCCTCGGCCTGGCCTGCGGGGATCAGGCCAAAACCGGCTCTCCGACATCCCCCAAGGGTCCAGAGTGAGAGAGGGCACTCTGCAAAGTTGCTGTCGTACAGGGTGTGGAACACAAACTCAAGTGTGCAGTAAACCAGATTCGGGGCCAACAGAGCCCCAGCAACAACATAACCCACGGCCGAAGGTGGAATCCCACAGCCCCACAAGGAATCGGGCTCCCTCCTCTCCGGTTTTGGGGTGTGTCACCCTAGAACTGCTGCTGCCAAGTCGCTGCAGCTCGGCAGCTCCTGCATTGAACGACTGCCCCATGGTGGTCAGTGCGCATTATAGCGACCCGTCAGACAGTCAGACACTTAGCATATTAGCCTTTTATGTATATAGATAACGCCCTCAGAGGAGCTGAGCTGCTCTCTGTGTGGGTGTGGCTTTCAATTACTGAACAATAAGATTTTAAAGACATGAGCTTCCCTTCCTGTCCATGCTCATACTCTGACAGGTACAACTGCTGCGAAACGTTCGACCCAGTGAGGGCCGAGACCACAAGTGACCGTTCAATTGCCAGGAGCCTGAGAGCAGGTGGAACTCATCAGATGCTTTCATATCACGTCATAAAATGCCCAAAACAATGAACAGTTAGGGTTGGGGCTCTCCTGCACACAACCAATAGGACGTGTCTATAACATGCAGAGATATTTTTAAGGAACTGGCTCGCACAATCGTGGGCCAGCAAGGAGGCGACCCCAGGCATAGCTGACACTGCAGCTCAGGCCCAGAGCCATCCAGGCTCCTCTGAAGCCCTCAACTGATGGGATGTGGCCCACCCCAAGGAGGGCTGCCTGCTTCACTCTAAGTCTATCCATTTAAAGGTTAATCTCATCTTAAAAAATACCTTCTCACAGACATTCAGTTTGGTGTCTGACCAAATATCTGGGTGCTGCGGCCCAGCCAAGCCAGCATTTAAATGAACCCCACAATGACTGGGATGTGCGGAAGGACATTTGCAACCTGTGAGGGGACATGTCAGGTGTGTCCAGACCTACTTCACCAATTTCTTCACAGGGGCTCATGGGGCAGACACACCTTCCCCTTCGCCAGAAGGCGGAGAAGTGAGGGGATTGAAAATACCTGAAGGGCCCTGGCCGGATGGCTCAGTTGGTTGGAGCAACATCTTGTGCACCAAAAGGTTGTAGATCCGATCCCCCTTCAGTGCACATAGGGAGGCAGCCGATCCATCAATGTTTCTCTCTCTGTGTCTCCCTTCCTCTCTCTAAAATCAATCAACATCCTCGGGTGAGGATTTAGAAAAAGAAACTGACCGTTAGAATCACTGGCCAGAATAGCAAGGGTTTGCAGAGATCAAAGCAAACCCTGAAAGTGAGGTTCAGAACTATGTACCTAAGTGCACACAGGTGCACCCCATGCGGGGTCCCCAGCACCCGCCACCCACACGTGCCTCCCCGCACCCCATCCTGACATAGCCGCCGCCCTCGGAGCAGGGACAGCCCGGCTTCTGGAGGCGCCGCTGGGAAGGGCGCGTCCACGTGGACGTGTGAGTGAGGCCCTGCTACTTTGCTCAGTGGAGAAGTGTTCCCTGCAGGCAGCCAACAGCTGGACTGAGGATCCGATGCGACGAAGGCACACCGACCGGCCGTGCCGGGAGTCCAGGGAGACGGGTGTCAGCAGTGGCCACAGGGACACGCAGGGTGCTACCTGCTGCCATGGGACAACCTAGGAAACCAGAGCCCAAGGGTCGCCTCCTAAGGGACCCCAAGCGCAGGCAGGGTCTGGGGACGTGTGCGGGTTCATGGACACACATCATGATCAAAGCGCGTGAGTGTATCGTGTACTTGAATGGCAGGAATGCGAGCTTTCTCATAGCCTCCCGTGCCTCACTGTCCCGCAGTTAGGTGACCACAGTGACGTCCACTGTCAAGGAGGCAGAGGGAGAAGCAGGGACGCAGGGATCAGCTGGCAGCCATCTGCACAGCAATGTCCCTCTGCACAGCCTCCTCCGAGCACAGCCTCCTGAGATGGGGCACTGGCGACACCTGGTGGCAGCATGCCTGACAGGCAGCAGCACCAGCCTAGGTCAGAGCCTGATGGGAAAAGGGCCTGGAGGGAGCCCGACTGTCCCAGCTCCAGCCGGCGGTCAGCCTCTTCCTTAGCCAGTCCTGCCCCGCTGCCTGGAGATCCCACACGGAATTTGATCACAGCTGCATGCAGGTGCTCTCTTACCATCTCACCCCTACCCAGGCACTGGGGCCTCTCCTACCACCTCACCCCCACCCAGGCACTGGGGCCTCTCCTACCACCTCACCCCCACCCAGGCACTGGGGCCTCTCCTACCACCTCACTCCCACCCAGGCACTGGGGCCTCTCCTACCACCTCACCCCCACCCAGGCACTGGGGCCTCTCTTACTACCTCACTCCCACCCAGGCACTGGGGCCTCTCCTACCACCTCACCCCCACCCAGGCACGTGGCACTCAATGAGCCGCCTGTTGGGACTGTCCTTCAAGCAGACGCTCTGTGACAGCCACAAAGAGCGTGCTGATGCTGTCATTTGCATTCTGGGCTCCTAGCTTCGCTCTATTTCTTTCTTAGTACAGATTCATTCTTCATTAACTGATCTACCTGCCACGGTTTGCATTTAGCCCCAATTAGCCAGAATCCACATGAAATTTAACACATGAAATTGGGGTCCAGCTGATTGTCAATAAAAATGTTCACTTGAAAGCCATCTTCATGGTGACTGCTCTGGAAGGTTCTCTGTGGGGAAAGTAAACCCTCACCTGGCCGAAGTGCTGGAAGGGCAGCTAGAAATACCTGCTAAGACCCAGGTGCTTCCCAGTGCAGCATGAGGTTCACCTGCCTGTCCCGCCCTCCGTGCGTCCCCACCCCCTAGTTCAGCTGCCCAGCCATGCATCTCAGCCACCCTGCGGGGCCCAGCTCGTCACCACAGCCCACCACACGAGCCGTCAGATGGCACAGCTGCTCTCTCCCTAAAGGAGGCCATAGCTCATTCAGACAGTTTGAGGCGTGTGGGGGTGTACGTCGGGGCTAGAATCCCTGGAGTAAGTATCGTCGCCAAGTTCATCCTTCCTCACCCCAGGGAGGCCACACTGTGAAACTAAGGGCCCTGAGGTCTCGGCATCAGACAAGGGCACCTCAGTTCCCTCTGCCTCCGGGTGGCATGGATCACAGCAGCCCAGCCCAGTGTGGGAGGGCGGGAGGGCAGGCCAGCAGCCCGGGCGCCCGAGGGCGGAAGCGGCCACACTGTACCTGTGAGCGGGAAATATTTGCTTCCAAAATACTGCTGATGGTGTCGTCTGAGAGGGGGGCAGAGCGAAGCTCCTCGGTGAAGGCGGTGACGTTCTTCATCACGTCTCTCACTCTCACATCTGAGAAACGGCAGCGGGAGAAACAGTACAGTAACGCATGCCGGGCTGGTACCGAAAACGAGGTTCGATGCTAACACCTGGCAAGGCCCATTTCCTTCCGCAGCCGCAGCCACGCCAGCACCACATGGTCTTACTGACCGAGCCCTGAGCCCCGCCCCGCTCCCCGGAGACGGCAGGTTCACCGGAGCCCAGCAGCCCCGGGCTCGGCGGCTCTCCCTGCTCTCTCTGAGACCTGCACGTTATAGATTTCCTCCGGGAAGAGGTTCCCTTAGGAACAGGACCCCGTGCCTCCCTTCCCTCCATGCATCTACTTATCTACCGCTTTCCACCAGAGCAGGGTCATGGACTGCCAGGGGCCCCAGGCCCGGGCACTAATGCCACAGGCGCCTGTGAACTGCCAGAGTGAGGGCCACGGGTCCCCGCGTGGCCTGGGAGCAGGGCGGGTTTGGCAGCAGGATTTGAGGACCTGCCTCCTTCACCCCAAACCCCTCAAGCCAGCCGAGCTCTGAACTGTTATTAATCACAACAGCATGACTTTTCCGTTTTATGTTTTATTTTGATCATATTTTTGTGTGAGAAACTGAACTTCACTTTTAATCACGCAAACTTGCAAGAACCACATACTTACCCACAGCTCCTGTGAGACTGCTAGAAGTCATCATCAAATTCCCAGGAAACAAAATCTTTTCGAGCCTCTGGGCCAACCTGAAATTAAAGCTGATTAAAGCTTATTTTACCCCAAAGGCGCAACCAACAAAAGCCGGGGCCGGGGGGGCGGGGGGGGGGGAAGCCGTGCCTGGCCCCGGGAGGGGAGCGACCACGGGATGGCGTCTCCACGGAGTCCTCACACCAGCAGACATGTCTCCTGGCACTCTGTGTGGCCGACCACTCAGTGACACTGCGCCCCAATCCTTGCTGCAGGCCCCCCCCCCGCCCCCGCCGCTGGGTGTGATGGGTCTGGGGAATAAGGATGCCCATTGCCCTGGCGGGGGGGGCTCGGGCGGTTGGAGCATCGTCCTGTGCACAGAAAGGTGGTGGGTTTGATTCCAGTCGGGACACATATCCAAGTTGTGGGTTCCATCCCCAGTCAGGGTGCGTGCGGGAGGCAACCAACTGATGTTTCACTCTCACACCACTGTGTCTCTCTCTCCCTCCCTCTTCCTCTCTCTCTAAAGTCAGTAAGTGTGTCCTCCGGTGAGGATTAAAATGAAGGGGTGGATGGAACACAGGGATGTCTCAGGAACTAGGAGCCGGAGGAATGCCTCGCTCCAGCAGGACACCAAGTGCCCGATTTCCCCTCCTGTGGTTTGTACTTTGAGAACATAAAACAATGACTCCACTGTGAGGAAGTCATTCGGGAGCCTCTGCCTGTAGTGTCGGGTCTCAGCATTCTGCTCCAAGCCCGCGACCACCCACAAAGCCTGAGAGCTAGCGCTGCTCTCCCATCTCACAACGTCAAAGTCATGCAAAGTCGGACTTGCTGAGAAACACACGTTACTGTGCACACGGTAAGGGTGCGGCCCACGCTGCTGTCTGCAATCCGTAACTGGAAAATGCACGGCAGCGCCCACCTGAAGGAAACCGTGGTGCAGGGGGCCCACTGACATACGTGTGCAGGCGCCGCGGGGTCCGGTCCCACGCGGGCGGGCACGCACAGCCCCGGGCAGCGGCGCTCTCCAGGTGGCTCCTGAAGCGCCGCAGGGAGCGGGAGAGGTTCCTGCGGAGACCCTCACAGTCCAGCTGACGGGGCGCGGACCACACCTTCTCCAGGTCCTGGAACAGCAACGAGAGTCAGAACGCAGCTGAGTCAGGTGTCAGGTCTGAGCCCACGTGCTGGGAGGTTTCAGCTCATTTTCCCAGAACGAGAGAAACCGTGAGGAGCCAGGCGGTCCCGAGAACGTGGCTGGAGGAAGGCATGGCCCTGGGGCTCCGCGTGACACCCCTCACAGGAAGGCACCTCCAGTTCACAAGTGATAACTACCTGCAGCCCTGACTCCCCACACCAACAAGCACACTGTCAGCAATCTCGGGGGGCCCTCACTGCTCCCCACACCACCATGCACACCGTCAGCAACCTCGGGGGGCCCTCACTGGTCCCACACCACCGTGCACACCGTCAGCAATCTTGGGGGGCCCTCACTGCTCCCCACACCACCATGCACACCGTCAGCAACCTCGGGGGACCCTCACTGGTCCCACACCACCGTGCACACCGTCAGCAAGTTCAGGGGCCCACACTGCTCCCCACACCACCGTGCACACCGTCAGCAATCTCGGGGGGGCCCTCACTGCTCCCCACACCACCGTGCACACCGTCAGCAAGTTCAGGGGCCCACACTGCTCCCCACACCCAGCACCAACAAGCTGCACGGGCCAACCCCACGGACATGAAACTCTGAAACATGAAAGACAACCAACCTGGTAGAGGTCATGCAGCACAGGGACCCCCTGCAGAGCAGACACAATGAGCCACCTCATCCCACCTGGCTGGCAGCTCCGAGCAGCACACAGGGCATCGCTGGCCAAGGACGGGTTTTCTGTCAGAGGAGACACAGAGAATAATTCCTCACCCATTTTCTCCGGAAGGAGTTGCTCTCACGGTCATTTCTTAGAGACTCAAAGTGACACAAATTCAGAGATTTCTTAAATCGTCAACATGAACATTGGAACACGAGGGGAGAGCTGTGGCGTCTGAGTTCCAAAGGTAACTAGTTACTCAGTTTCCCGGGCCTCCCCGATGGACAGAAACGCATTTCCCTCCGCCATGGCCCCACAGGGGTCCCTCTTCTGCACCCGCTGGGCAAGGTACTCACTCACTCTGAGCTTCTCTCCCCATTCTCTACATTTTCTCTGCCCTCTCACTTCTCTCCTCATTCCCCCCATTTTCTTTGATTTCCCACTTCTCACTATTTTCTCTGATCTCTCTCTTCTTGCCTCATTCTTTCCATTTTCTCTAATATCTAGCTTCTCTCCCATTCAATTTACTCAGCAAAAATTCAAAGCCATAACTCAGCAAAAAGGCAAAACCATGACTTGGCAGAAATTCAAAACCATGACTCAGTCAAAAAAAATCAAGAGCCTAACTCAGCAAAAAATCAAAACCATGACTCAGCAGAAATCAATATCATGGGTTAGGGCTAGGGTTAGGGGATTAGGATTAGGGCTAGGGCTAGCTAGCATTTAGTGTTAGGGCTTAGGGTTAGGGCTTGGGTTTAGGACTAGGGCTAGGGGCTAGGGGCTAGGGTTTAGGGGTTAGGGTTTGGGTTAGGGTTAAGGTTCTCACCTACTGTCCCTGAGCAGAGATGGCAGTGCCCTTTCAGTCCCAAAAGGAAGGACGGTGACACACTGATCAAGGTTAGGGCACCCAGCCTGCATACTCATAGGTCACATCCAAAAATCTGCCCCACCTCACATCCTCACGGCCATCTCTCCTCCTGACAGCACCCGCTGGGTCTCCGCCCCTGCTCGCCCCTGCACCGCCTTCCTCTCTGAGCCTGGGGCTCCCCCTAAAGGGGGCTGCTGCTATGGGTCCTCCGAAGGCTCAGGTCACGTGTAGGGCCTCCCCCCAGCTCACTCCCCAGCTCCGTCTCCCCTGTCCCCTGCACCTCCTGCACCTCCTGCACCGTGCTGCCTCCCCTCTGACCTGCCTTTCGGGGCCCGGCCTCAGAACACCTGCGGCCCCGGCACAGGGCCTTGCACTCCTGCCCCCAACTGTGTGGACCGACAGGGGCTCATCCCAGCTGCATGGACCCCCGGCACGCACACACTGGGCCAGACTGTGCAGGGCTGTGCTCACTTCTTGACTGGGTCACTGTTCTCACGCAGTCATTTCTGACATAATTCAAGTATTAGATCCGCAGGAGGAAGTGACAGCTCTCCTCCTGCTTCAAACTCAACTCAGTGGCATGCAAATAGCTACTCCATTTCCAGTAGGAAAGTCACTGGGCTGACTGCGCCCCCGGATGCTGGAGGAGCAGCCATGTCCACTGTGGCCCATTCCGGCCCGAATCCTATCGGTACCTTCTCTGGGCCTGTCACCGCCTCCTGCTCTACAGAACGAAGCGGCCGTTTGATACGGAAAGGAGCGCGACAGGTGTTTTTCAGGCAGCTTGCAGATGACATACTTGAGTTTTCTTGTTGTGAAATGTAAAAATTCAAAATTAACTTTCTGTTACTAATGTAACTTCAAGTATGCTATATTAATTTAGCAGCTGCAGTGCAGAATGACAAAACGCACATAAATTCAGGTATTATTGAATGTAAATTCCTTTCGATGCCTCCCACTAGCTGACTGAAATGTCAGCATAGGCGCAGGGTGCCACATACGCAGGCGGAAGAGCCACAGCTTCCTCCTGGGAGCGCGCGCCTCCCGGGTGCGCCCGGGCACGGAGGCTCGGCACTGACTGCTGCCCAGGCCTCACACCCTCACCTGGAAACACTCCCTTTCAGAAAACAAGACCCTCCGTGGCCAGCGGGTTTCCTGGGAGGCAGCCCGGCATTTCCTTCGGCAGCAGCACAAAGGGGAGAGCTCACTGAGATATGCAGGAGAGGACTTGGCAAGCAGGACCTCAGTAGACGAGTTAATTCATTCACAACCCAAGCATTTAGTCATTCATGGCACAGGTGCTGGGGAGGACGGAGACGGATGGAGTAAGCGGCAGGCCCTGCCCTCGGGAAGTCAGACGGTGGTAGGAAAACCTGAAACATGAGCACTGAGTGCCCTGCGTTCAGGTGACCGCGTGGGTCCCTCGGCACACCTGGGGGAGGGGAGGAAAGAGCATCCTCTGTGCCAGGCACAGTGTTGGGGGCCAGATGTAAGCTGGCAAGGTCCTTGCACCTGTAGGGGCTAGCAAGGCTGGGATCCTTACCCACACAGTTTTCCCAGACTTGTTTGGATGGCGTTTATCAGTAGAATGAGAGCAACATTTGTAGAATGAGAACAGCCTTTCATAGCTTACCAAGAAGTCTGTAACTATTTACTGAGATATGCTGTACTGAGAACTTGTCCTTCTGCTGTGTCCCTCCCTTAGAGATTAAGAGGAACAAAGAATACATTCCTCTTGATAGACCTCCTATTCAGTGTATTATGTATAAATAGTATTGTGTGGCTAATAAAGTTGCTTCAGTTCATCGAGAGAACTGGGGTCCTCCCGACCCCGCTTTCCTGTCTTTCTTTCTTTCCTCAATTCCCACCTCCCTGCCTCAGCCCGGCTCAACCTGTCAGGCCGGCCCTGACAGCACAGGATGTGCACCCGGTGCCGACGTGGCGGCTGCCTTCAAGAAACACGACTCTGGTAGAGGAGGGAGCTGTACAAACACTAGTGAGCGCCTTGGCATTGCATCTGACAGAGGTCTGCTCCAGCCACGGCCAGCGAAGGGTGGAGGCAGGCCTCCTGGAGAGCCACCCCAGCTCCGACCCCTCAGGGCCTCGGCCGCCAGGCTAGAAACTCGGAGGCATCCACCGTCTCGCTGACAGCCGGCCCCGGAGACCGGGGCGTGAGCAGCACTTCCCACGGAGCGGCCCACCTGTGAGCGTGAGCAGCACACGCAGAACCAGCGTCCCCGCTCTCTGCAGGGTCCCCACGGCTCCCGCGGGCTTCCAGGGCGGCTGGGAATCCCGGCACATTCTGGCAACACTTGGGAGGAAAGAAATGCCATTAACGGGTGAAGGTGTGGGCCCCGGCGTCCTCTCTGTGCCCGGGAACAAGTGGCAGCACACGAGTGGGGACTCCTGGCCCCGGCACCACGTGCACCGCCAGGGCCTCCTGCTCGACCGCAGGCACCGCTCTCAGCCTGGTGCGCCCACGCCAGGACCAATGAGCTCAGTGCTGTGACCAAATGCACGGGCCGGGCCGCTGCAATCCTCGAGCTGCTGAGAACGGGTTTCTGCGGAGTTGCCATGAGCCCCTGCAGATGGCAGAGTCTGAAGTCACCGGACACCTCTGAAGGCCAGCCTCAGGGGAGCCAGGGAGAGCCGAGCATTGCTCCAGAGACAACAGACAAAGGTCTACTTCTCGGCTACAAGAAAACATAGACGAACTGGAAGAGAAGGTGGGCTGAGCCTAGTTATTACTGAACTGTGTTTTAGCCACAGAAGGACAAACATATGTAATTTATCTTTCTGGCCAGAAAAAAAAACAAAACATGACGGTGTATAGAGCCATTTACTAATCACCATCAGGTAATATATATTTTGGTAAACCGTGAAGTTTTAATTATTATATTTCAGTTGTGCCACATGATCGGGGCCTGGAGCAAGAGTCACTATTCAGTCTCTGCACAGCCACGAGGGGTGACTTTCATTCTTGCTCAGATGTGTTGTTCTGAGTATGACATCACCCTGTCCCTGTCTCAGGGTCCCAGCCTCTAAATGAGGAGTGAGGTCGAGGCCAGGATGTCAGACGACAGCATGGCTGCAGAGCACTGGCAACCTTGCTCATCACACACAGGCTTCGACGGGCAGGTTCCCACCAGCTCCCAGGGAGGCGCTGGTCCTGTGAGCTGACACTGTGGAGACAAGTGCTCGGGTCTCCTTGCACCAAAAGGCTGCAGGTTCAATTCCCAGGCAGGGCACATACCTAGGTTGCGGGTTTGATCTCTGGTTGGGGCCCTTATCAGAGGCAACCGATCAATGGCCCTCTCTCGCTCTCGCTCTCCCCCCCCCTTTCCCTCTCCTCCCCTCTCTCTAAAAAATCAATAAAAACTTATCCTCAGGTGAGGATTTCAAAAAGGAGAAGAAGAAAGGGTGGCCCGGGACAGCCAGAGCATCTCTGAGACACCAGAGCAAGTCCTGCAACCTCAGGCAGCAGACGACTCCGAGCCTGACACGTGCAGGGCTGAAGCTTCTCAGAGCAGGGTTCCCCGACCTACCATCCAGGGGCGGGGGCAGTTCTTGGAGTGGGTCAGCTAGGTCGTGTGAGGTTGAATCTAAAGAGGGAGGAAGCCAAGCGCTGCCTGGCCCCTCGCAGTGGCCCGGCAGTCACAGCTAGAGGCAGCGTTTCCTGTGGGAGGCGTGTGGCCTCCGTCTCACCTGACACAGCGTGACCTGTGGCTGCGCGAGCACATGAACAGAAAGGCTGTGTATCGACCGAGTCTTGGGACAGGTGAACAGAGTTAAGAGGTTTTTACTATTGAAAATAAAATAATTTACCTTTGAAAATTTTTGGATAAATTCAAATTCTATTTGCAAATAAATGAGTCAGACAGTGAGAGACTGGACTTGACTCGCGCCATGGAAGCCGCCTTCGGACAGCAATGAAGGTGAAGTGAGGACACGGGCCCTGGTCAGTGTACTCCCTGCCTGTCCTGCTTTACAGCCGCTGTGGTAGGAAACAGCGAGTGAGTGTGAAATACCTTTGATCTGCCAGGACTTCCTGCCAGGACTCCGTCCACGCAATTAACCCCTTCACGCAGCTCTCACACGGTGCCAGTGCCAGTGCCGGTGCCGGTGCGAGCAGGTCAGGAGAGGCGGTCCTCTCTCGCTGGGCCTTCTCCCCTTTCTCTGGCGTGACACTCTTCCCAGCGGCTGCATTAAGAAAAAGCTCCAGGACGGGCTGGAGCACAGTTTCTGCGGAACTTGTCCACTGAGGGTTGTTCAAGAGAAGCTCTTTCCGCAGGAGCGCTGCCCCGCTCAGCACGCTCCGGGCGGCTTTTTCCAGGTGCCGAGGCGTCACTGCCCGAATCAGAGAGGAGGTGAAAGCCCAGGCTCCACTCCCGGCGCCTCCACGGGCGACCTCCACAGCTGTCCCCACGGCTTTCAAAAGGGCGTCTGCATGCTGAGCCCACGTCAGCCACAGCTGAGAAACATTCAAGTCGTCCTTCTCTAAGGGACCCCACAGAGCCACGGCCAGGTCAGCCACCACTCCCAAGCGGGGCCCCATGTCTGTGCTGTCTCGTGACCACATTTCATCCAAAACCAGGGCCACTGCGTGAGCATCCCAAGGGAAACCACGCGTGGAAACGGGATTCGGACGTAGGAAGTCTGTCTGGTTGGTGATGTGATTTATAGAAATTAAGCAATCTAGGATTTCTTCCCATACGCTGACAGAATCCATGGAAAATACTTGAGTTCCATTGTTAATTGCTACCAGAAGATGTTCCATGTCTCCCAAATTGATTTCCCCAGAAGTTAAAAATTCTGCAATTTCTTCTGAAATATCAGAAAAGTCCCTGGACTGGTTCACATAGGACAATATGCTGGATGACACATTGAAAATACCAGAGTCTTGGGAAATATTAGGTTTGATCCCAATCATCCCAAAGGCCAAGTCCAGAAATGGCATCAACAAGTCATTTATATTTTCAAATACTAACTGATCCGCTTTTTTCAAAGCAGTTATTTCATTCACAACATTTCCAACATTCTGTTGCAAAATGGAATACAGAGAATCAACGAATTTCATGGTGTCATTGGTGCCCGAGACAGGATGAGTTTCCAACGCAGCGGCCACCTTCCGGGAAACTTTCTTGGCGAGCTGGAGCAGCGCCACAGTGGAGTTCACAGCCACGGCCAGATCCCTCATTTCCGCACCTGCGCTCACCAGCAGGCCCAGAGCACCAGGCATTTCCGGGAGGGGTTCCGGGACGGGATGTCCTCCACCAGCTCTTGAGGTAACACCAAGAAAGCTCTTAGTAGTTTCGAATGTTGCTCTGTTTCTTAGAGGGAATGAGTGGTTTGTGAAGGAAAGCAGATTGGTCAGGTTAGCAAATAGAACCTCTCGGAGGGAAGGACACGAGGCACGGAGGTCCTGGTTGGGAGAGTTTAAAAGAGAATCCTTAACAGTTGCTATCTCTACTGAGGCTTCTCGCATGCGGTGAAGAGCTGCCTGGAGCTGGTGGCTGAGCTGGGAGAGGTTTGCAGAACTATTCATGTGGAAAAACAACTGACTTACCTGGGTAAGAAACTCCAAATTATTTTCAGTCTTATTTTTCACAGAAGTTTTGCTTAGAAGAGCATTAAATAAATCTCGCAGGAACTTCCATCCTCGGTGATTATCAAAATAAAGGTCTGTGTGGTCTGACATGAACCATCCTTTGATTAGGTGATATATAGTCTCCTTTAAACTTGAAAAAACGCTCATCAATTTTTCTTCTTTCATGTAGGTAAGAAATTGGTCCACTTTCAGAATTTCTAAAACTTTATCCTTTGGGACAAAGCTGTAAATATATATTTTTATTTCATGTTTAGCAATGGAAAGATTAAAACATATAGTTATTTTTTTGTTTTATACGAGCATTATGGGGGATAATACTGACTGGTTGCTGATGCTAAAGTACATCGCCGATGAAAGTTAATATTTGTTCCAAACAAAATAAAGCTTGTTGGCAAGCTTCAAAGGGATGGAAACGGGTGTATGGAAAAAACATGTGACTGTTAGTTTTAAAATTTTTGAATTTTGTCAATTCCCAAATATAACCATCACAGTAGATAAACTGAAAATATTTAAACTCCTCAGTTACGATTAGACAGTTATTACAATAATTTGAATTATGACCATGACATATATGCGTAAGTACTTAAAAACTAATTTTAACTTCATAATTATATTCATAACCAAAAAAGACAAGAAAGTAGAGTAAGTGACTAATTGCCGGGGCTAAGCAGTTTCTATGTAGGTTTAGTAGTTAAACAACAGTCATCAGTTACTTTACCCTGACGTTTCAGTAAGATGTTTGCTAGGCCACAATTCACTTCAAAGAGCTTCCACAGGGCCAGGCACGGTGCTGCTCGTGGCAGGTGCGCCGCGGGAGGTAAAGGGGGTTGAATGTGTAACGACATGTACTGCACAGAAGCAGACTCACCTCATCTCTGCAACGATGTCGTGGAGGTCTTTCGGCAAAAGAGATGTTTTGTTCTCAGAATTTTCCTTTTCTAAAAAGGTGAAGAATGTTTTCAAAAGCTGTCCCATGGACTCCACCATGCCTCCTGGAGGGAGAAGTACGCTCTCACCCTTTTCTAACGGTGTCTGGTTCAAGGTGAGGTTAATGAGATTCAGGATCTGAAGGTCAGTGTCACTTAAGTTCCAGGTTGCTTGTCGAGAGCCCGCAGCTAAGTTATTGACTGAATTAATCAGGAAGCTTTTCAAAAGCAACCTAGCAACTGAGAAATTGGTTGACTGTTCTTGGTTTACCAGTTGAGCAAGAAGGTCAATGTGAGAATCATCTCCTCTGGAAATGTTTTTGAGATAATCCAAAAAGGTATTAATATCTTTAGTCAATGTTGAACTCTCACTGGCCAGAAGGAGGAATAATATTTGTATTATTCTGGAGTGTTCTTCACTTGCATGTTTACGAAGCCAGTTTTTTGTGACGGATGGAAAACCTCCGGTCGTTTCTGATGACGGCAACGATGATGAATTCGGGCTTTCCAAAATGTGGACAAGTTGCTCAGTCATTTTCTGAAGAGCCACTGAGTTAATCATTGGAATCTCTTCCTTTATTTTAGAGAACAGGATTCTTGTCTTGAAATTGAGGTTTGGATCTTTCATGGCTTGTTCAGACTCAAGCCACAGATCTTCAAACTTGTAAGCTGTTTTACTCTTTTTAATAAAACTTGATAGTGCTTCGAAATGCCTTCCTAGGTTTGCATTCAAAAACGTCATGAATAGAGAGACTACAGAGCGAGTACTATTTCCTAGGCTCTCATCCCCAGAAAGTGACTGTATCACCCTTCCCAAACTTAAGGGGAGGTTCCTAAGAGATGCCTCTGCGCCTTCATTGTTAAGGATCCTGTTTAAAAGAGCTAAGTTATCAAGAATGTTTTCATCTGATGTAGCTTTTGTAAAACTGACGTTTCTAAACTTTTCTATGATTTGTAAAGCAACCTGCTTCAGGGGGCCAGGGGGACAGAGTCCAGAGGTGCTACCCTTGCTCTGATTTCCAGAGAGGACAAATGGAAACACCTTCCGCCTAAATTCTTGCACAGTTTTCACAAGCGAGGTTTTCACGTGGAAGACTTCAGACAGCTCTAGAAGAATGGAGCTCCAGTCCACTAGCTCATGAGTTACGCAGACCATTTTCTTAGTTATTTCCATCCGTGAGCTTTCATTTGAACATTGGGAAACTTCACCCGGGGGAGACAGGTGGAGGCGGTCAAGTATACTAGCCACTTTGCTGTAAAAGCGGCCATTACAGGCCTCTAACTCTGGATCCTGCTGAAATGCAGATATTGTGTAATTCTGGCACCAAACCACAGGAAGGCAAGTTACAACCTGGGCAAGAACCCCTGGCTTATCTGACACTAATTCAATGGTGTCCAGGAGAGTTTTCATCACAAACATAAAGTCTTCCTTGACATGAGAAATGCCTATGCCGTGAAGGACTGTGAAATCGTAGACATCCTTGAGGGCGTTGGTGACGTTCTTGTCCACCACTCTCTGCAGGAGTCTCACAGCGTGAGGGAGGGCATAGTACAGACCCACCACCGCATCCACGTCCTCTCTGGGAAACAGGCGTGACAGCCTCAGCAGATGATTGACATTCCAAGAATGGGAGCTGTCTACAAACTTCTCCATCAAGCCAACAAGCAACTTGACCCCCAAACTGTCAGTACCTGGTCTACTGATATTCTTTATAAAATCCATTAGGCTTTCACCAACTTGTTCGAGTTGGTCTACCAGAAGGTCTATGTCGGTCTTCTTTAGGGTGAGCAGGAAAGAAGCTATCTTCTTTAAAACTTTATTATTACCTGGATCTTCTGGAATATTGTGATGGACTGGGGGCATTAGGGAGTTGAACACATCCCTAATCAATTGAATACCAAGACCCACAGCTCTCATTATTTCATGTGGAATTATTTGGGGTGAATTTTGGAGATCATCTGATAAGTTGAAGACAAGGTAACTTGCTAAATGAAAAAGTGAATTACCTAAACGATGTATATCCTTTTCCTTTGGACTGGCAGTAAATACGTTTAAGAACTTTTCAGCTTTAGAAGAGAAGTTATTTTCCAGAATGTTAGGGAAAATATCTTTCACAAGTTCTTGAATTTCTTTCCCCAGATCTACTAAATGCAGCCAAGTATTTTGAAATCGGCTAGGAATTTCTTCTGACATTTCTATGGGTCTTAGAATTAATTCAGTAAAATGTTTCCAGTTGGATTGAGATGCAAATTCAAAGTCTCTTGTTAAGTTGTTGATAAGCATACTTACTTGGTTTGTGGAATTATTTAAAAGAGTTAATAAAATCTCCAATTTTGGTGCCTTCTCTTTTTCAAATACTGCTGTAAGTATAACATTTAGGAAGTCAGTTACATTTTTTAAGTAAATAGCCATACAATTTATATTTGACTTATTCAACGAACAACCAGATTCCACTGTATCCAACAGCCAAGTAACAAGTGTCAATGTAGAGTTAATTTTGTTTTCCACATCACTGAAGTGCTTCAAAACACCCTGAAGAGGGCCTTGTGAAAAACTAGGGTTATAGGCCACATACGAATGATTGAAGATGTCCACCCACTCAACACATCCTTTCAGTCTACTCATGATGTCCTCGGAGGAAAAGAAGGAATTTAACGTGGCCAGAATACGTAACGCCCTCTGTGAAGTATTTACATGTAATAAGCCATCTTCCAAAATAAACTCAGTGATGTTTTGGAAACTATCAGCACAGGACAATAAAGTATGGTCATGTGACACATTTCTAAGAAATAATATTGTTTCTCTTAGGTCAGTGATGATGCTTTCAGAGTTTACTTCATAATCCGTGAGGTTATTTAAAAGGAAGTGATTGATCAAGTGTGTATGTCTGTCTCTATAGCCTGAGGTATTGCTTAACCCTGTGAACACATTGAGCACAGAATACAAAAACTCCCTGCCTGCTCTTGTGTTGAGCGGAAATGCCTGCAGCTGACTCAGGGCGGTGTCCAGGGTGGAAAGGGATTTCTCCACCTGGTCCGGGAGGAGCAACTTGACTCTAACCAATGCATCACGTACTGCTCCCCAGAGGGCCCTGAGATCCCGAAAATCGTCCCGGTCATGGAAGCCGCCACCTTGAGTCATGTTTTTCAGCAGGTTTAATATGAGTGTAGCAGGGCGATGAATGGGAAATATTCCCTGGCAGCTTTTAGAAATTTTCACATCACTTTCCAGTTCACCCAAAAGCTGGGTAAGAGCAATATGAAGAGGAGTGAAAACATTCACATCCAGCTCCAACATCTGAGCTGCACTTCCCCAGATTTCAGTCCACGCCTGAAGCCACGAAATGGAACAGTGAACAGCCATCCGCTCACTGAGCACGCTGCCATCTGCGGAGAGGTTTGAATGAATCTGTGCCCACAGAAGAGTAAGTGGAGGCCCTCCATCTACTGAGTAACTCATAGAAGAAGTGATTTTATTATTCAAAGCAAAGCATTCATTACCCAACAGGGTTCCTACTGAACTGTTGAAGAGCTGGTTCACATACTGAAATAAAGAAATACGAAAATCTTCATCCCCCATGAGCAGCTGTTTGAGGCCGGTCAAAGTAGCGTGGATCACTTCCAGCTCTGGGCGCTCTGCAGACAACAGGGACTGGGCTTGAAGCTCCAAAAAGTTGAAAACTGAAAGCAATTGCTGACAATAAGATACTTCAGAAATTCCCCCAAGAAGTTCTGTTGTCTCATATAAAAATGCAAATGCTTTGCTGATATTTTGAAAATTAAATTGCTTCATAATCTCAAAAATGTGCTTCGAGGTTTGAGTCAGGTAAGAGAGCAAAGACTCTCTCCTCTGGATGCCCACTAATCTGTCAGTGTATTGGTGAAATGAAGAATAAACCTGCAGAAGAAAAGCTGAATCTGGGTCCTTAAAGACATTTCGATAGATCTGAGTCAAAATGTTATCAACTTCTTGTTTTTGCGGTTCAGAAAGGGCCGAGAAAAGAGCAGATGCATTCCTCACAGCATAGACGGTGGCCAGAGCCTCCGAGACTTGCTCCTGCCTCAGGAACCCAAGTTCATAGAGACTGTGGATTATAGATTCACTTAGACGAACAAAATCCATTTCCACAGCTGGTGACTCAGGCCAATCCGAGTGAAACAACTTGGAAAAATTAAAGCTTTTACTAAGAATCCTCTCATTTTCTAGAACAGAAACATCTGAAAGTGTAGACAAGTTTTTGAATTCAGTTCTCTTTCCTTTGGAAATGCCGTACGGCCACAATTCCAGGAGCTTGGGGTTAATTTCAGAAAGTACTGTTTCCATAAATCTCAAAATATAGCTTGATTCCTTCTTTTTAAGAGTGTGCATTTTTTCAATCACCTCTTTGCCAAATTCCAAAAGTTTCTGAGCATGGAAACCAGATGGCTCTCTTCCTAAATTCTTTAAGTGATTTATCCAGGAATGACTGGCATTGAGAAGAGTCTCAGTGGGACCGCTGGGTGAGTCAAAAGGGTTAGGCAACAACAATTTCTCCAAAAATTCCACAAAGGACAAAAGAAAGTTCATATGCTCATCCTCAAGGGCATCCAACTTCTTTTCCTTCATGAGATGTTCCTTTGTGGCATTTAAGACCCTACAATATTAACAGAACTGTATTGGTATCAGAAAAAAATAAAGATAAATTCAACCTACAAATTTTCAAGATAATAATCAGATTTATTATTAAAGATAAATGAAATATTTACTAGACAGAGTGTTTCCCAGTAGGAATTATATGAATGTGAGCATCTGAACGTGTTTAGAACTCCGCAATGCAGCTGCCCGTATTTAGCTAAAAATCTGCTTGCTGCACCGAAAACAGCCCATTTTCCTCCGTATGGCTGTTAGAGACAGATCTGCTGCTTATTTATGCAGAAGAACCTTAGGGTGCGATTCCTCATCACATCTCCATGTCTTGGCTGCAGGGATGGAACCCAGGGCAGCGTGAGTCAGACACTGGCCGATGCTCTGAGGACCAGTGTTGGGTCCCTGTTCTGGAAAGCAATTCCTGTGCCTCCCACCATTACAACCTCATGGGGTACTTTTCCTCTAAGTGTTTATTTTTAAAATACACACCTTTAAAACAAGAGTTCTGCCACAGTAGCAGCTGAGGAGTCAGGACAGGCCCACACTTGTGAACAGAAGTCCTGACTCAGGAGCGACAAACCCATTGGGAAGCCCTGGGCCCCATGCGTCTCAGACGTCAGGAAGAAAACATGGCGCACCTGTCAGATGAGTGACAATGCCCCCTTCACCCACGGGGCTGGGGCAGCCCCTTCCCAACCCAGTGACACGTCTGTCCACCGAGAAACCTAGGAATGGACTCAGACCATGTGTGGAGGGTCAACAGACTCGTTAGATTTCAGAATTGTAGATAAGAGATTTGGCTATTAATGCCTTAGAGGGTGAACCTTCCTCAACTTCTTTAAGTCTAATCCTGCTGTGGGACTCGGGCCCAGGAGACACAGGACGATCAAACACAGGAGTTGAGCGGCGTTGCTCTCTAACACCTGGGGTCCCGGAGCAGAGAAAACACAGGCTCAATCGAGCCTGTTGTTTGCAGGACAGAGAGTGGCTACTCTGGCTGATGGAACATGGAAAACATCCCCATTGGAACGAAAAAGCTCCAGCCAGGGACCCACACCTTCATCTGCCCGGCCCTCCGAGAAGCATCTGCACACGCACGGGGCGTGTCATCGGGGCTGACAGCGCTGGGGTCCGTGCGTCGCGGGGTGGGAGGAGGCAGCTGTGGCATGTGGAGCCCTTGGTATAGAGCCAGTGCCATGACTGGAAAGTGGCCCCACGGTTTTTGTGTCCCTTCACAATTTGTACAGCCACGGCCACAGCCACAATCCTAGTCATCCCTCCACAGCCTTCTGAGGTACATCATCATTTCCATCCGTGGGAAAAGAAACATTTCAAAGAGGGCAGGAACGGGGCGGCACGTGGCCCCGTGTTCTCCCTCCAGCTCCGCTATCTTACACTGGTGGCTTCCTGTCCTTCTACCGACTCATTTACCACCACCATCTGGCCTCTATCAGGAAGGTACCGTGCCGGCTGCTACAAGCACAAGCACACCCTGAACGTGCCATGGAGCGCATACAGACGCCGTTGTTGCCGTCTCTCTCGGGCTATTAAACATTTGAGACTTTCAGGAGAGTAAGGCAAGGCACTGGTTCTCCTTCCCATCCTCCTCCTCCTCCCGGGAGTGAGAGGCCTAGCGGTGCAGGTGTGCTCCGAACCAACTGCAGAACCCGTCCATCTACAGAAACCTGGGCCCTGCACACGGCGAGTCAGCATTTCTGCGGCAGGTCCAGACTTGCATATGACGGCAAACTTCACAGAGTGGTCTGATCCACTCCAAGTTTGTGAGCCTGCTCTAATGCCAAGCTCCGTCCCACCGTGCCCCCCACACCCACCAGGACAGAAGCATGGCGACTTCAGGAGGGTGGAACGGCAGGTCTAGGAAAGGCCACAGTGGTTCCTTGATTCTGTTGGAAACCTAACAAAAGAGGACTCGGAATCCTTCTGACTCGACTTCCCCTCTGGCCGAGATGAAGGACAGACAGGTGGAAACAGGTAAGCTGGGGGCGACTTGGACCGCACAAGGAACATACTTGACCTAATTAATATGCATAAACCCCTGTACCCGACAACAGAAGTCACGTTCTTTGGAAGAGCACATATATTTACCAAAATCGATCGTGTGAGCATAAAGTTCATCTCACCAAATTCAGAGTCTAAAACATCCAGAGTATGTCCTCTCACTAAAACGAAACTAGAAATCAATCTTTAAAAGTTACTTGAAAAGCCCCCACATGTCCATGGAAATTAAGCGATCTGCTTCTAAATAACTATGAGTCAGAAGAACTCACAATAAATATGAAGAGATTTTGAATTGGAAATATTAGAAATTGATGACAGAGCCCTGCTCATCCAACTGTGTGGAATGTACCAGAGCTCTGTGAGGAGAGGGGGTGGCCCTAGCATCTGTTACAAAGAAAGAAAACCTGAAAACCAAGAAGCTGGAAAAAGGTCAAACTAAATTTAGTAGAAAGGGCTAATAAAGATAAAGGAGAAATTCATTAAATAGGAAACAAATGTTATTGTTCATCTTTAAACAGACGTCAACGACGTAAAACCTAACATCCAAAATGCTGGCCCTCCTCACACACCCTACCCATCAGGTGGCCTCCTTGCACAGGCTCACTAGACTGGGATTCAGGATCCAGCAGTTTTAAGAATTCGTTTCTAACAGTTTCACTCTTTAACCCTCAGTGTGCTCTGGGCTAAGGAACCCTGAAACGGGCAGTGTGTCTTACGCGTTTGGCGGAGCGTGGCTGCCGGGGCCTTCCGTTGTCGCGCTGCCCGTCAGCAGGAGCAGCCCAGCCTGCAAAGCGTCCGCCACCTCTTGCAGGGAGCGGTGTCGCTCCAGCGGGCTCCTGAGCGCCGCCAGGCCTCCGCCGCCCTCCCGCCACCGACGGAGCACCTGCGGTCAGAAACAGGGCGACTGTCACAACAGTGACTGAGGGGCAACAGCGTCTGGTCGAGAGACAGCCACAGGCCATCGAGGTGACAGACGGCCGTTTTACAAGTCGGGAGACTGAAAGGACTGGCCACAGCTGCCTTGTGGCTGAATGTCTCGGACATTGAAGACTACAAACTGCAACAATGGATGGGAGCGACACTTTCATCAGCCCCGTTTCTCCTTCCTCCCCGCTCCCATTCCCAGAAGGGAAAGCAGTGGGTACATTTCTAAACAAGTGAATCATGCCCCCAAACTAAGCGGACGTGTTTTGAGACAGTATAAATACAGTCGTCTTTAAAATGAGCTCATAATTAACACCCAGTCACAAATGCCCCTGGACGTCACAGACTTGGGGATGATGAAGCTCACGGCAATCAGTACTGTGGCTCCACACGACATCAAACAGATCGTTCACACGCAATCATGGAAGGCAGGGAGCACGTGACAAGGCTCTGTGTGTGGGGGGGGGGGGGGGCCTGACTACCCAGCAGTCAGGGACCCAGATAATCGCCGAGCAAGGCGTCCACCTGACCACGCTGACGCTGGGCAGGTGGCTCTGTCCCCTGATCACTTTACTGCCAGACAAACTTAGTGCCACCAAGTGGACAATCCCATCTGCAGCTTTAAAATGTCTTCTCTACGTCACTGACACACATTAGGAAGGGAAGCTGAAGATGTGTGTCCTTGGAGGGAGGCGTGTGGTGGGGGCTGTGAGGGTCCTTGCGGCTGCCGTGCACATGAAGTCCAACACAGACTTCCCGGCGACATCTGTGCTGAGGGCAGCGAGCCCAGACCGTGGGGCGCAGGGAGGAGGGCCCAGGGGGCCAGGACGTAGGCCCAGGGCCTTTCCTGGAAGCACACAGGGACACTGAAGAGGTGGGGATGTGAACGGACGGGGGAATAACTGTAGGCCTGTGCCCGGTGCTGCGCCCGCAGTCAGTACTGCTCGGGGGGGTAGCGCTCTGTGAAGCGTTCCCACCACAACAAACTCAAACACCAACCAGAGGAAGATGTGGGAAGAGTGGGGTCGAGGTGACGCACTTCAACCCTCGCACGCACACGGGCGCTTCGATGGGCACAGCACCTGTTCGTAGACCTGCAGCCAGCTGACCGTGTGGACCAGGTAGGTTTTGGCTGCTGACCAGCTGGCGTGACAGTCTCCAGGGTGACCCTCCCCGTCAGCTTTGTCCTTGGAGGCGCGGGCCAAGGCTGAGCACACCATCCGCTCCAACCAACGGTCTGTGGGAATCTGGCAACGACATGAACAACACTTAGAAGTCAAGCTTTCTTTTTCTACAGTGTTTCTCTTCTAAAAATATCACCACAATCTCGCTAAAGGGAAGGCTGACATTGGCTTGACTGAGGAAGTAACAGGTTGATAAAGTGTCGCTTAAAATGTCCTTGCGCCGCCCAGCCTGCCCACGCGATTGATTCCCAGTCTCTCAAGGAGAAAGCCAAGCGCGAGAGGAGCGGGAAGCGTGCGCACCTCGTTCAGTTCAGCCGAGGAATTCAGGATTTGCTCCGCGTGGAGGTCGTCAAATCCAAACCGGGACTGCAGGTCCGCCTGCACCTCCTGCGGGTCCCGAAGCAGGCTGCGCAGGGACAGGCCGTTCCCCAGCTCTGCAAGGCAGCAGGGGGGACAGGTCACGTCCTCACACTGTGGCAGGTGCTGTCGCAGCAGTTCAGAGAGCAGCGCCTTCACTTTCAAAGGGAAGGCAAAGGGCGACCCAATGCTATTGGGTCAGTCAAGTAGGAGAAGCAAACCCAGGCTGGCCCTGGTGCGGCCGCGTGGGGAGGGCACCCGCTCCCGGCGGGAATGACTGCGGATCTGTAAGGTTCTGTGCATCGTCCAAGTTACAACGATCACAGAATTTGGGAAAGAAAGGGAAATAGTCACATCAGCCCAGGAAGGGGTGTAACACTGTCCAATCGGTCTAAAATCAGAACAACAACTTGGGTTCTGGAAGTCGGGGCTAATGACAGCGCAGAGCACGCGATGAACGATCCCGAACAGAGCACGGCCGGCCCAGAGCCGGAGCCACCGAGGGCCTTCCCCTCCCCTCGCACGCTGTCCTCTGCCCGTCTTTGGAGACACAATTAATGAAGACAATCTGTAGCTGCCTCCAGAAGCTGTTCTGTGATTGTTCTTAGCTCTTACTCACTGAAAGTTAATAGCACATCACTAATTTTAATTACATTCTTAACTGTAATTATATTTCCAATTGTCAGGTAAGTGGATCGTGTAATTTGGATGACACACAGAACCCGAGCTTCCTAATGATAACACATTTGTTAACGGAGGTGGTGCAAGGGTTCAGCGAGGGGGTCTGTGTGGCCCCCACTCCGCTGGGCTCTGTGCTGAGCATAAGAACCCGTGGCTCCTGCTGCGATGAGCCCACAGGAGAGCAAGGTAAACGCTGGTGGCCTGGCTTCCCTCTGGCAGGTCCAGCGGACACCCTTCCTGTCTACGGGTCCTCCCTCCACTGAGCCACTGGCAACGGGAAGAACTGGGGGCCTGGGTTTGGAGGGGGTCGTTCGAGGCTGCTCCACGGGCGGGACATCGGGAAGGAGCACAGAAGTCTCGGTGTAAGCGTCTCCCTGTGCAGGTCAGAGGCGCCAATTCCCAGTCTACTGCTGCCTTTTCTTAAAGAAACAGCTGTTCTTTGTTGCCTTTATATTTTAAGTGATTTGAACAGCACTTGAACTCCGTTGGTTGTCGATAAATTTAACAAGTGAACCACTCGAAATACCGGAACCGCTTAGGTACCCACCTGCACCTGCGGCTGCCACTCCATGTTCCTGCAGGAATGTCAGCGCGGAAATGGTCACCTTCAGCACCATTTTGGAAACCCTGGAGGTAGCAGGGTTGAGTGGCAGCCAATCTAGATCTTCCAGAGACGCTAAGGAACTGGAACCAAACAAAAGCAAAGCAGCGTGAGCTGGTTGCTGGCACAGGGCATGGACTCCACTCTTCTGTCCCAGCCACTGTGCCAGCCCCAGCCACTGTGCCAGCCCCGGCAGCTGTGCCGGGCCATCCACACTCGGCATCCGTGGTGGCTTTCAATGTGGCTGCAACGCCCTGGACTCAGGACTCCACATACCAGCCCAGTCCCTCTCATGAACACTTGGCACCTGGGCCACCTCCCGCTCTGCCTGGGACAGAACCCGAGTCTCTGACACTTTCCAACGCTCAGCAGGGCAGCCAGGGTGCGAAGCGTTGTCATCGCAGAAAGGCAGCTGAGCAGTCAGCCCGGCCGCCTCCAGGGCAGGTGCTCAGCTCACATCTGGAGGGCACCCCCTGGGACGCAGTCTTAACCTCTGGATCTGAGCGGTCAGCGATCGTGTTTATCAAACCGCTTCACACACACCGGCCTCAGGGAGTCCACATGCTTGTACAGTGGGGCCTTGACTTACGAGTGTCCCGACTAACGAGTTTTTTGATACCAGCTGTCTCTCAGCCAATTTTTTGCTTTGAGTTGACAGAGTAATTTGAGTTAACGAGCTCCTTAACGAGCTCGGTCTCAGATCGAATTAAACTCGTAAGTCAAGGCCCCACTGTAGTGCTAATGTTGTTTTTATATATCAGTATTTTATTTCATAAATAATTATGCTTAAACGTGTAAATTTGAAAATCCATTCAACTGACATGGGAATATATCTGAATTTTAGCAACACGAGGCCAAAAAGACGTAAGTTTTGCTCCAAAGAGGTTCTTTCCCTGCAGCTTCTTGTGAGGAAGATCTCGCGTGGCATCCTGCACACTGTGGAGCCCAGGTTACAGGAGATGCCACTGAAAACCGGTCGTGCCGGGGAAGCACTCCAGGTGTGCAAATGTGTAAGTGACAAGTCAAACCAACAACTGTCAAAATACATTCCATCTTCCTACACTGACAAATACGCCTTCGTAACGACTTGGGAAGCCATGTTCAAATTAGCTAAACTTATTATATACATGTCATATCTCCCTTAGTGAAAAACTCAGAAATAACCAAACATCTAAGTACATATGGTAGGTGGCATGGTACCAAAAGGGAATGTTATGCAGCCATAAAAATGTTCACTTGAGGACTCTAGGAACAAATGAAATGCCAATGGTTAAAAAATTTAAATCAGGGAGAACGTGCTCTGAACAGCATTGCTGCACTTATGTAAAATATTTATACAGGTACATGAGGGCAGGCGGAGACGCAGGAATTCTAGCTTTGGGATGACATCACTCTGGAGTTTTTCTTGTCCTAGCCTATATAATAAAAGGCTAATATGCAAACTGACCAAAAGGTGGAACTACCGGTCACTATGACACACACTGACCACCAGGGGACAGACGCTCACACAGGAGCTGCCCCTGGTGGTCAGTGCACTCCCACAGGTGAAGTGCTGCTCAGCCAGAAGCCGAGCTCATGGTTGGTGAGTGCAGAGGTGGTGGTGGGATCCTCTCCTGCCTCCGCGGCAGCACTAAGGATGTCTGACTGACAGCTTAGGCCCACTCCCCCCGGGCCTAAGCCGTCAGTCAGACCTCCCCTGAGGACTCCTGGACTGAAAGAGGGTGCAGGCCAGGCTGAGGGACCCCCACCCAAGTGCACAAATTTCATGCACTGGGCCTCTGTTATCAAATAATTACTTGGAGCCCTGGCTGGTGTTGCTCAAGTGGTTAGAGCATTGGCCAATGCACAGAAGGGACTCAGGTCTGATTCCTGGTCAAGGGCATGTATCTGGGTTGCAGGTTCGATTCCCAGCCCTGGTCAGGGTGCGTGCAGGAGGCAATCAATGTGTCTCATATCAATGTTTCTCTCTCTCTCACCCTCCCTCAATCCCTCTATTCTAAAAATCAATGGAAAAAATACCCTTGGGTGAGGATTTAAAAATAATAATTACTCAGATATATATATATAATATCCCATTTAAAAAGTGAGGAGGAAGCACCCCACACCTACAATTCGTTGTACTTTCTTTGTATCTTACTTCAAGACAGCCTGGAGAAGGTGGACAGCACTGCGGAGGCCATCGTCGATGGGGACATGGTGTGCGTACAGCCTGGGCAGGAAAAGCAGGAAGTCCCAGACCTGGGGCTGCTGGTGAAGGCTTTCCAACGCCGCTATCACCTCCTCGGTCTTATTGAGATCTGCCTGATCGAAAAAGGTACCAAGGGTTTTTCTCTTTATTTTTGTTAATCAATTAAATGATGGGGCGTGGGCTGCAGAGTCTAAGAAACCAGAGACTATGCCTGATAGGTCATAGTGTTTTGAACAGATAGATGTACAAATGACTGAGGTTGGGCTTTTAAATGTCGTGCCAGTGTGGACGGGGAAAGAGGGGCCGAGGTCTGCTTTTGTAGCCAATTTCCATGACTGTGAGGCAGGTCTTAGCAATGAACGAGGGGTGTTCGATTGTGCGTAAGAAGGGACACCCACTGCGACGGGCTGTTCTGTTACAGCAGCTAAACCCAATGGCAGTGACGCACCCTGTCCGGACGGAACACCCCCCCGCAGACATCTCCAAACCGCCCCCCCCACCACCACCGCACGAGCAGGTCCTGGTGGCACAACCACTACAATGTCAGTGCAGAGAAAGGGGAATAAAGATGATGGCCAGCCCTGGCCGTGTGCTCAGCAGTGAGCCCCGAGGGTCATGGGTTCGAGTCTCCGCCCAGGCCCGCGGTCACATGGATGCCTGCCTCCCCCTCCCTCCCTCTCTCTCCAAGAACCAATGGGGAGCATCCAGTGAGGATGAACAACGATGACGCTACAGGAGCGTTTTGCCAACAGCCTCGGTGAGAACCCACAGCGGGTTCTTCCTCCTGGAGAAGAACGAGGCCGGGCGAGGAGCCGGTCCAACTGCGCGGAGCGCCCTCCCGGCCGGAGCTG